GTGTTTAAAGTGACTGTGAAAATTAAGTGTATTGCAAAGTTGAATTGAGAAAGAATAAACTAGTTTTATTTAAGAAAGGACTTGTATCTCTGAAGTTCCTCGGAAGAATTTATACCGAGAAATTAACAAACGAACAGAGACGTAACAATAGTTTATTACATCTGCTTCACTGGATGCGATGAATGACGTATCCCGACGTATAAGTGTGATGTATCCTATCATAGAGTACGGAACCACAAACAATTATTGTATATGCCAGATATAAAAGTTTAGTGTAGGTAGTATTGATAAATTTATTTTGTGAGTTAATATTTCGTGATTGTTTATTTTTTTTAATAATAAGAGAGTTAAAAGCAGACGATTATTGGAAGTTGTGTTTGTAAGTTATTGATGTCGAGGCTACGGAGATTTTCAGAACGCTTCAGTGAGAGATCGACGACTTTGGTTCTCCGTTGTTCTTTATTTCGCGCTGCCTGCACCAACTTTCCTACTCAAGCTTCTCATCTCTAATCCGTCTTCTCACTTTCCTGAACCCAGTGTGTCTTTTCCCGCCTCTCTCTCCTCTTCATTTGATTTTACCCATCAGAAACTCTGCCAACCTCCCCTCAGAACTAATTATATGACCAAAGTAATGAATCATCCATTTTCTGCACACATCCAGTAGTTTTCAATTAGGAACGTCCGGAAGTTTGTCCGCCATCCAGGAATTCGAAGATAGTTCTAAACATTCCAAATTTTGTCAGGCGGCGCTCGAATAGTGTTGTTGTTTTTTGTTTCTTCTTGTTAACAGAACCCGTTTGACAATGTATGACTTGTAATCATATATTAAATGTCACTCAATCGGGAAAGTCTATCGTTTGACTCATACATTGTCGACTACTTCAACAAAATTTTATGTATTAACCTCCTCCCTCCCTTCCCATCACCAGTAAAAAACAACAACAACAAAATACACCTAGAAACGGTCTACAGCAGCACACACTTCCGTGCACTGGAGCAGACGATTTTGATCAAATACAGGGGTGGGAGGTATGGTTAGCGGCTGCATTGTTTCAATAAGATGTCCTGAATGTCTAGTGTACCTGCCGTAAAAGAAGTGTTATACTGAGTAAATATACACCATCAGTAATAATTTTATTGTTGTAAAAGGAGCATCGGTGTAACTCTACACACATACACCCCGGATGCTAAATGAATCAACAATATTGTTTAAAATGTAACTAATAATAACAGTCTTTCATGTAACTTTTGATACAGTTGAATGTCTGTATTTATTTTATAAAAGTTAGTGTTAATCCGTCCTGTTTTACTGTTCATTTATTATCATGTTTGTTGTGTGTGTGTTTCAATTAATCAACTGTTCTATGTTAAAATGATTATGACTATTAACCTGCTTGGAACTACTATTGTTAAATAGGGCCCGGCATGGCCAGGTGGTTAGGGCGCTCGACTCGCAATCTGAAGGTCGCGGGTTCGAATCCCCGTCTCACCAAACATGCTCGTCCTTTCAGCCGTGGGGGCGTTATAACGTGACGGTCAATCCCACTATTCGTTGGTAAAAGAGTAGCCCAAGAGTTGGCGGTGGGTGGTGATGACTAGCTGCCTTCCCTCTAGTCTTACACTGCTAAATTAGGGACGGCTAGCGCAGATGGCCCTCGTGTCGCTTTGGGCGAAATTCAAAAACAAATTGTTAAATAAAGGTTTGTTTTGATTAAGTCAACTGTAGTTCTTAGCTGCAATAGTGTGCTCTTGCCATGCAAACTTACACGTGCATAAGCAAGGTGCATTTTTTAAATGTCAAAACATGATTACTGTTCCATATATCGCATTTTTAAACTACACGTTAATGTTTTATTTAATTTATACTGATTACCTGTAACATACTGGTGATATCATTAGTAAATTGTGCACATTAGGACTATCGAAGGTTTGAAGATCAAAATCTACCCTTCATTACAATACTTCCTCTTTAGTTTTTTTTCTATGTATCTAATCTTTATACTTCGTCTATAACACCATGTTTCAAATGCTTTCAACTGTCGTTGCATGTTTTAAGAGTACATGCATGAGATCATTGCTGTAATGTGATACCTTCAAATTAATTGTTTTGGACAATTTAAGAAGTTGACCTTTATTTGGCCTTTGCTGAACTCTACATGATCTTCGCAAACCGTAATGTATTTTAACGCATGCGGATGACTTTTCTAAATTCATAACTTTAATTTGATAACGTTAAAAATACTATTTTGGTGATTTTTCAAGATTCTTTTTATGACCTCCATTTTTTCTACACTTGTTCAAATTCATACAGTCGTCATGTTCGCAGTTATTTACCTTCACTCCTAAATAGGTTGTGTTATATTATTATTTTGCAATTATTAAGTAATTTTTTTATTTAGTAATGTAAATTTATTGCCAGTTTAATACACTTTTGAAATTTCAAATTTGATTTATTCGTTCCTCGATACACAGTATAACAGAAATTTCTGCCTGTCTTAGTCTGGGGGAGGGGGATGCCTCAAGGCCTTCCATACGGACTTACTTACATTTGCCGCGAACTGAAATTTTTTGGGAAGTACTGGTTTAGATAGTCCCACGTTAGTTGCACAAAGATGTATTAAAAACAATACCATACATATTCTAACTAGTCTCACTAAGTTCTAATTGATTTCCTAAATATTTTGCATACAAAATTATTATATTTCTCTCTTCTTTTTTTCTTTTTTCTGGAAAGTTCTTTACATTAAGTGTTGTAAAGGAGAAAAACATAAAATTATTTAATATTATGCAATATGTGGGCCTCACTGGTAGTAAACGCTACAAAGATAAGTCAGTAATTTGAAAACTAAGAGTTAACGTACTGTGTAGTCCTGCTAACTTAAATACGCGTATAAAAGGACATGGGATGAAAATTAAAACAAAATTAACGTTTGTTGGAAATGCAAAATAAATATTTAGTTTTAATTTTAACTAAGAAATGCTTTGTTAAAGTTCTAAATGTATTTAAACTGTCCTTTAAGTATAATACTTTACTTTTTCTAATAGTCATGATACTGCAGTTGTGCGCGATACGTAATATTACAGACATTTCTCTGTCATACCAACTCCTTCGTAGTACAGAAACTGAGTTGTTTCAGACCAAAGAGACGAGGAAATTGTTTGTTTTAAATACTGGTATTTTAAGACAAGAATAAATTTATTATGTTTTAACTTGGCGATAAAATCCTATCAAGGTTTCAAGAAATTACACACTGGTAACTGATAAGTATAATGACAGTTTCTATTCCGCTAGGAGATAAAGGAAAACTATCGGTTTAAATCTATAATACAAGGCCTTCTTCATCTAACTGTGGAAGATCATTTTGTAAAGGCCTTCTTCAACTAACTGTGGAAGATCATTTTGTAAAGGCCTTCTTCAACTAACTATGGAAGATCATTTTGTTAAGACCTTCTTCGTGTAACTATGGAAGATCATTTTGTAAAGGCCTTCTTCATCTAACTATGGAAGATCATTTTGTTAAGACCTTCTTCGTCTAACTATGGAAGATCATTTTGTAAAGGCCTTCATCTAACTATGGAAGATCATTTTGTTAAGGCCTTCTTCGTCTAACTATGGAAGATCATTTTGTAAAGGCCTTCTTCAACTAACTATGGAAGTTCATTTTGTAAAGGCCTTCTTCATCTAATTATGGAAGATCATTTTGTAAAAGCCTTCTTCAAGTAACTATGGAAGTTCATTTTGTAAAGGCCTTCTTCAACTAACTATGGAAGATCATTTTGTTAAGGCCTTCTTCGTCTAACTATGGAAGATCATTTTGTAAAGGCCTTCTTCATCTAACTATGAAAGATCATTTTGTAAAGGCCTTCATCTAACTATGGAAGATCATTTTGTGAAGGCCTTCTTCAACTAACTATGGAAGATCATTTTGTAAAGGCCTTCATTTAATTATGGAAGTTTTACTTGTAAATCTAAAATATAAAACCTTCTTTATGGATTGGCATTTCTAAAATCTATTAAAGTAGAAAGCATTCAACTTTTCACGTGAAATGGAAACAGTAAATGTGTAGAATTTCACTTTATTTGTTCGAATAAACATTTCACTTTCACTAGATGTGGGTATTTTTTTCAAAAGAAAATGCCTTGTGGGGGGGATATGATTCTTTATAGAGATGTGCTTTTTTTTTAACCTTGAATGATATTCCTTATCATACACATAGGAATATATGTCACGATATGAAAAACTGTAGAAGGATCCACAAAACCAAAACCTGAAAGTATATTGATGATACTGCTATAACACTTTCTTTGGCCATTTGTCTCCAATCGTTCAAGTTGTATTAACATATAGTTTGAACTTCCGAAAAGTTGTGAAAGAGCAACATGAATTTATTTTGTTTGGTAATTTACAGCAGTCAAGTTAATCAAGTTATAAATCAATCTCAAGTTCATAAAGTATTGTTGATAACATGATGTCGAGTTATTTAATGAAGACGAAATGTACGTTTCGTGATGTGGAGAGCAACTACATCAAACCAAATCGACAATTTTTATATAGATTGTAAAGGATAACATAGCTCTGAAAACTCTCCAGGTTTCTCTTTGGTATAGAGCTTATTATTTTGTGAAAAGCAACTGTAGTTATTGCGATAAAATATCATAAAATACTGATACTAGATATACATATAAACAGTTTGTACTTTGACCACTTTAAATATTATTATTATTTACACGCGAAAATAGTTTCACTCTGTTTTTATGAACTGCTTAACTGAATTTTAATTATTAAACATACTTTATTTCTATATAAACAAGTTCACTTCTCTGAGGGTGGGGGGGGAATGGTCCTCCCTAATGTTTATCCCCACTCCATGTAAAAAACAAAAAGATGAATCAACCTCAATACAATTAATATTTGATTACAAGCCACGTGAATGCTCAAAAGTCAGTTCGTGTTCTAAACCCAAGTTTTACATAAAGACTAATCAAATAGCTAACTTACCTTTGATAAAATCTACCGCCTGTTCCAGCCCGTAAGTGTCTTTATCACAGTCGTCCAGGATATAAGCACCGAGAGTGACACCTGGTAGAAAGTTTTCCTGGCTATTTACCCAGTCGATGGTATATAGCATACATTCCAAGGCCTGAATCCCACCCTGAGGCATTATTGGTCCACAGATCTGGGTGTCTTCGCGCTCATGCACCATCATAAGCCCACCGAGAATAATGTCCCCTTCTATTTCGGCCACCCTTTTCACTGGCCAGGTATAGTTCAGACTGGTGTTTGTTTTGTTCCAAGTCCAGCCCAACACAGATCGAGAGTTTAAAGTTCTTGATTTCCAAAAATCTACGTTTTCCAAGTTCAAATGGTGAAAGAAAGTTTCGGTGTCGCTAAAATTTTGCGAGAGTAGATTGGCGAGTTCACTCATTTTGGGTAAATGTCGGATATTTAAATGCTGGCGGTGAGAAGCAACGGAAACTTGATACAACGAAATCAACAACAAATGACCCACAAAAAAAGCCATTGATATCGTTGCAAGGTTTGAAACTTGAAATACGAACAATGTACAAAGTGTTGATGGTGATGTACGAAATGTTTCTGTAATCCGCGCCATGTTCCTTGGCTTTCGACTAAAATTTAGTATTAACATCAGTAAAGGTAAAATCTTCAAAGGTAAAAGAAGACAGATGTAGAAGATTATTCTGTCGTGCTCTGAAGCAGGACGACTGGAATTTAATCTATATTATTCTGTCGTGACGACTGGAATTTAATCTGTTTTAATCACAAACTTGCGGCGACGTATAAGATCAACTGGTGTAAAACTTCGGGCCGGAACTTTCTATTCTAACAAATGAAAAGTTTTGCCATCAACTGACGAGCGCCTCCGATCAGCACGTCTTGTATCTATCTGCTCATGACGACACTACCATGACCCGCCCTCTCGTGATATAAAACAGAAGTTTAGCGTAATAATATTTAACATGAGCTGTTAGTAGAATTCGGATACAATAAAAGAATTGTAGATTCCATTATTTTCCTGTCGAATTGCGTTCAATTAAACGCTGTTTTAGTTTCAAAATAACTTACAAGATTATTGGACTGTCAAAACATTTTATTTGGGTAGTATAAATAATAATCTTAGAAAATTTTAAAATTTTTTTAGAGAATTTTCTAGACGTCATCCATCTTTAATAAGCTTGAGATTGTTTTCATAGAAACCAGAAAAAGTGCAAGCACGAAAGTCGATAAGTAATGATAAAGTATCA